CAATATATCTCTCCAATTTATATTGTACCATATACAAGCCAAATCAAGCTGTGTCCATTCCCTAGATCTGCCCAAATGACCTTTATATACTTTGATCTACCTAATTGCCCTACCTCCTTCCATCCTCGTCATCTGTCTAGTGATGCGGACCCACTGCTCCATACCATACCATGTCTCACTCCACCTCTGCTCTCCTGGGGAATCCTTCCCTAATGAGTGTTTGTACAGCTTTGCACACAAAATGTAGGATCCTCAAAGTAGGGCCTGGGTCTCACTAGCACACCATCCTTGGCATCTAGGACAGGACGGATAACAAACCACGTCAAGAAAAAGATCAGGAAGCTTTCATATTTTAAGTTAGAAGAAGACAGACCTAATGTCTCAACACATTGTTTATACGATCTAGACAGTTGTCTATAGTGTGAAAGGAGTTCCCTTAACAAGTTGTGACACCTCAGAAAAGTCAAAGATGAAATAAGGTTTAAAAGTAACTGTCTTCCATTCAGAAGTTTTCATCTTATTCATCTCTTTTTAAACTCAGTGTTTAGAAAGCATTCATTTTGACAAAATAAATTAAGCAGTCTTATAGTATACATTGATCTCATCTTATCAAAAAGCCATTCAGCATTATCTTTATGGAGCGGTATTTTGATAACTGTGTACAACAGTCAAGTTCCCACTACCGAACAGCTTCGCATTTGCCGGCTGAAGATTCAAAAGGACGCCAACCAGCTGAGCAAGATTTCAGGACCCAAGCAACTGGAGCCTTTATCGAATAATTCCACATCTCTTCTCCCAAGATCTCAAATAGACATAAAAGGCATATTTCAATCCAGAGGGGATTGCTTAAATTAAATATAACAAAAAAAAAAACAGTTTTATAAAGACAGTAAAAAAGAACTGCTTTTCTTCCGTTTCGCTAAAAACACTATGGTTTATGGAAAAGCACGGAAAATGCAAGATAAGTACCAGTGGTATGGGTTAACAAAAGTGCAGAAGACATTCCAGTGTCTGTGCCCACACTAATCAGTACCCCGTTCCAACATCTCCCTGCCTTTCTTTTCATTTAAATGTAAATGCAGAGAATATTGTACTTTAGATCCTCTCTATTCTGTTTACCAATAAGATAAGAGGAACATTTCAGCAGAGAATGAGTCCTCCCACATGCCAATTAATAGCATGATAATGCATAATTATTATAGGATAAAGATTAAGTAGGTAAAGCCAAAAAGTCCTCATGGAAATCCATTTAGATAAGGAACAAAAGGTCAGGGGGATATGAGAATGCACACACATCCTAACTAAAGCTTAAAATTCTGTCGTTTCTTCAGTGACTTTGAGCCAATAGACATTTCCTGAACACTGACCATGAAGCGATGACAGCGAACATAAATAGCAATATACGATCGTAATGCCATGTGTTACACTGAGGTTAGACACAGAAAGCTCACTTGACACTGTCCAATGTAAAGCCGCTAACTTTCCATTTAAATTTGCACTAACCACACATGCTTTGGGCACATGAAAGTACCTAAAAATTTTCATGAGAAAATGGAATTGAAAGAAAAACTGTTTTGGAGTTAAGAAAAAAAATGATATCTATAATTTTCTTTGTAGAGCTTTTTTTCCTCTGTGGAAAGACATTTTTCATGAACTTTTGGAAGATCCCACCTTGGAACCAGTACTTGGGGAGGAACACCTGCATCGCCACAGGAAGTTCTATAAAATTCTATTAGTTTTATTACTGCTTATTTGCCCAGATCCCAAATAACGGGTCTCCATCATTTACTAATGCTATGACAGAAGAGACACCATGTAGTGAGCCTGAGAGTCCTCTTGCTTTGCCGCAGTTACAACCAAAATAGAAGAATGACTAAATACATCACAGCCTATGCAAACACGAAGTTCTATGCAGCAGTTGAAAAAGCCAAGTTCAACTTGCTTTTATTTTCCAATTCAATCAATAATTCCATTAATACGTATTAACACAAAAGATCTGTACTCCATAACAGTGATAGGAATAAAGCAGGCTGAAGTAAAACATACATGATATGTTATCAAAACCTGCCACTTCTCCATGGACCCATTTCCAGATATACAGAAAAAAATAAGTACTCCTTATAGTGATGGGCAAATAGTACTCTATCCATATGTAAATTTGAAGTAAACTCATTTAGGGGAATGAATTGATATTTTCTTTACTAAGATAAAGAATGCTAACGGTAATAACTACCTGCTAAGTACTTTTTCCAGTACCAATAAAAGTTTTGTGAGTATTATAAAACATGACTTCTATGTAAAACTTTTTATATCCAAAGACTCTAGGCAATAGACAGGATACAAAAATAGTCTGTATTATGATTCATAAGTTCCTCTCAGCGTGTAGAGCCTCCAGAGACAGGCAAGCATGGCTCCTACCTTCACACAGCAAGATGATGAGTAAAGACAAGTCAGGCCTCATCGGTCTTAAATCTTGTTCATGGGACAACCAGAGGGAGAGATGAAAAATCAGAGACCCCATCCCAGTGCCCTGGCTGCTGATAGACTAACCAGAAGACCTGGCTGCTAACAACAAAATGGGGTGAATGCCAATGAACTGGAACTATATGAAGACATGAAAACAGAGATTTGAAAGGCAAGCAACAGTTGAATAGACCAAATATTTGTCATGAGGGAAAGGCCCAGTACTGAGGCAAAGGAAGCTGATTAGGTAACGTGGTTAAGACACCTCCCAGGGAGAACTGAGCCCGAGCCAGAAGTCATGGTAGAGAACCTGGAAGTTATCGCAAAGAGAAAGGCAAGTCACTTGTGGTTCCCACAAGATCAGCTCTGTTATCACGGAACTGCTCTGTTGTCAGCTCAGTAAGATGTGATACAGCCTCTAGACCGTGGCAGTTACAGCAGATATGGAGAAAAATATACTAATTTTTGGAGAGGAAGATGAAAGGAAATGGGTGTGACTTGAATCCCATTAATAGAGAATTATATTATCGCAGCTAATTTCCTTTAAATGCCATTTGTTAATGTTCAAGATCATCCTTTATACCATTATTCATCAGTAATCCGCAAATCCAAAATCTCTGTCAACAGAAAGGTTCCCTGTAAGACAACAGCAACACGTGCTCTGAATGAACATGAAGTTCCTAATCTCACTGGGCCCTATTCTACGTGAATATTCACACATTTTACTAAAGAAATATCATCGTCGGGGTTGGTGTGGGGGTGTATCAGACTAATCCTCTGCCTACAAGTGTCAACACCCCACATGGGTGCCAGCTGCTCCACTGCCAATCCAGCACCTGGGAAGCAACAGAGGATGGCCCAGGTCTTTTAGCCCCTGCACCTACGTGGAAGGCTGGGAAGAAGCAGGTTCCCAATCTCAGCTCTGGCTATAACAGCTATTTGGGGAATGAATCTATGATTAGTAGACCTGCCTTGCCTCTCCTCCTCTCTGTCTACAAAAACCTGTTTTTTCACATTAAAAAAAAAAGTTAAAACAAATCTGAAGAAATATCAGGATCTATGACTATGGGCTGCAAATGGACAACACATCATTTTGTACGTGAACAACCCATGCAGCATGTGTGTGTGTTTTAACTGCTGGCCTTCCGTACACCTGTGAAAGGTGCATGAAACTGGGACTAGTTTTCCCAGAGAGCTTTCAGACCATGCCAGAGCAACTGCTACGGGACTAACCCCACATTCCTGTCCCTCTGGGGACTGAAGCCTGTTTCTAACAAGGTGTCTGCTGGAACAAGCCAGAGGCATCAAAAGGACACGGTCCCAGGTCTCCAGTACAGACATCAACATTCATTCAGACATATCTTCGAATCATTGGCGCAGGCTTCTGCTAGGGGACTTAGAGACTAGAATTAAATGAAACATGACCCTACTCTATTTTCAGATAGATTGTTCCAAAGAGGGTTTTGTCTGTTAAAGTGACATGCTTTAAAAAAAAAAAAGTAATAAGGAAGATAGGAGTTTATTACACTAAGCACAAGGTGAGAAGTTCATGCTACTGATTTAGCATACAAAGCCCAGTTGGCCCTCCCCATTCTCAGGTTCAGAAAGTGGGAATTCAACAGACTATTGACAGAAAACTTCTGTCATTCCCTAAACAACACAGTGTAACCATTCCCATAGCATTGACATTGTATTGGGTACCAAAAGAAATGCAAAGATGACCTGAGGTGTATGGAAGGATGTGGACCGTTCCCATGCAACCCTTATGCCGTCTCTCCTAATGAACTCAACATCAGTGGATTTTGGTCTCTGATTTAGGGATCCTAGAACAAGTCGACCATGCAGTGGCAATTGCAAAGATAAATTTAGCAGCTAGTGTTCAGCCTACTGAGTAAGAGGTTTAATGCCTGTGGCCCATTTTAGAGTACCTATGTTCAACACTCAATGTCCCCTGACTCCAGTTTCCTGCTAATGTAGACCCTGGGAGGCAGGATGAAGGCCCAAGTAACTGACTTCCTGCCCACATAGGAGATTTGAACTGTGTGCTCACTTCCTGCTCTGGCCTGGTTTGGTCCTGGCTCAGTTCCAGCATGTAGGGGCATTTGGAAAAGGAATCATCAGATGAGAACTCTGTCTCTTAATCCTCCCTCCCTCCCTCCCTCCCTCCCCTCCTACCAATTTTTGCATTGAGAGCAATGCAAAAAATTTTAAGTCCATGCACAGCCTTTTCCAAAACACATTTTCTGTGAACTTTTCTTTAGCATCAAGTCCCCTCATCTATAAAAAACAGGAAAAAGCTGGTGAAAAAAAGGAGGCAGACACATCTTCCTGACTTCCTTGTGACTTCTGGGACCTCTTGAATGACACTGTTAAAGCCTTCATCTTATTCTAACAAGCATTTTTCAAAGTAATACTCACATGTTCATTTTTTTGATACTGATCTCAAAACAGCTTGCGTCTCTTTGGATTGCAAAGACAGTAAAGTTTGCCCACGTCAGGTTCTTTGAAAAAAGCCAAACTGACTTGAAAGGTCTTACCTTCAACACAAGAAGGTTGGGCCCGAGTCGTGCCAGCCACCTGTCCGGGGAAGCAGGAACACTTAACTGTCTGTGACCGCTCTTCTATGCGGTTTTTGTTGCAGCATCTGTGCACGGCAACCACCTCACAGGTCCCTTGCTTGATCTGGTGGTGACCTGCCGGGGAACAAGAGAAAATAGAGCAATGCTGTTAGGAGGAAATGAAGACACCAAGGGCATAAACATGGCATGGCAACATTTCCTAAGTTTGTAGGCTGGCCTTATAAATCTTTATAATATTTTGATATAAATCCCAATTCATTTAAAGGTGTCAAGAACAATGGGGAAAACAACCAAAACATGAGGTAAACAGATTTTTGCCCCCAGGAAACCCCCCCGCCAACCTAAGGGTCACACCCATAATGATTACATTATATAAAGGACACAGCAAAGGTGACTTAGCAGATGTGATGATTATTACTAACTGGCTGATTTTAGATCGAGGAATATTTCCTGGATTATCCACATAGAACCACTATAACCACACAATACCTTAAAAGAAGAGGGTTTCAAAGAATGAGAAAGATTTCCAGTACAACCACTGGCTTGAAGACAGGATCACACGTCAAGGAAACAGAGACCTCAAACCTACAACCACAAGCAACTCACTTCTGCGAACAAATGGATGGTTCCTGGAAGATTCCTCCCCGGATGGTCCATAAAGGAGTACAGCCCACTGATGCTTTGACTTTAACCCACTGTTGGGACACTCAGAAAATCACCTAGCCACACCGTGCCATATTTCTGGCCGTCGGAGACAAGGTACTGAAGCTCAGAGTTCTTACAGCCACAGCAATAGCCAACTCACTCAAAGGACCTCCCAGTCAGATTCACTAGTCATTAACATGAGGCCTCATCTGCTTCATTGTGAACTCTGTCTCACCTATTTTCCTGAACCATGGAAGAGTAAGATGCAAAGATGAGCCCTTTAAGTCCTAAACATCTCCCTTTGTGGAAACAGACAGCTATTGTGTAATTCTTCAGATCAGAAGGTTGGATACGAATCAATGCCATTTCATTACCTAGCACCCAGATGCACATGCTGCTGATTGTCCCACCGATGCCATGGACAGTATTTTTCATCCCTTAGACTCTGACCCATGGTCATGCACTACATTCAGTTGTCACATTTCAAAAACCTTTTAAACAAATTATACTCCAACCTTGATCCTTCTGATCTTAGCAGATTTTAAAGCACATGCCAATGTTTTCTAGCATGTCCTTCAACTGGGCCTTTTGTGATGCCTCCTCCCGATTAGAACTGGGTGGTCCACTTGTAGCAGAGTACCCCAGACGTAACACTGTATTCCCAGTGGGTCATCTAAGAACACTCATGATGTCTTACACTTCATGCTCAGTGCTATTTAATCACATGGTTAAGATGGCATCTGCCGGCTTTCTTCATTATAAATCTACTTTCCCTTTTACTTAACAAGCATTTTGCAAGGCAATATTTGGAGATCAAACATATATCAACTACTTTATCAATTTATGATTTCCACCCACATCAGTTATTAACAAGACAGCTGTAAAACTGCTTCTTTTAATATTCAGTTTACCCACATCATGGAAGAAAGAAATCCTATGAGCCATCAGTCTTTGATAGCTCACTGCTTATCTGGTTCCAGAGGTTCTCAGCATTCCTCTTATTGTCCCTCTCCACAACATTTCTCCAAAAAAGCCTTCATTACTTAGTGGGATACTAGATTTAAAAACCAAGAACTCAATACATAGTTCATACATTGCAACTACTCAGCAAAATGCGGCCGTTTGCAAACATGGGATACTTAAAAATCCTGGTGGAAAATTTAATGCAGGATTATTTTGGTGCAGAAAGTTTTGAAATCCATATATATATATATAATGGATCTTTTAAAAAGCTCATGAAGGATATATATACTTTTCAAAAGTATGCATGGCTTTCACAAAAATTTTTTTATGACTTAAACTTTTTTCCATCCTATTTTCTGTAAGCATTTTGCAGTGCGCTCACAGATGAGGGAAGTTTGTGGTAGCTGCAAGTGTGAGTTCACACAGAAGTCCCTAGTGCAAATCCAGAACCACGAGTTCTTGCTTTATTTCTATCTGCCACTGCCAACAGCAAGCAGCCTGACCTCCATGGTCCTTTGACAAGAGGATAGCTTTAGTATTTCCTGTGCTTTCAAGTCAAATTTACAATGGGGTCCATTTTATCAGTGAGGAACCTTTTATCAGGGCAACAAAAACTGACCCGAGCTAACTTAACGCCAAGGTAATCTTTCTGGGGAAGATAGGGAGTTTGTAGACCCAAGAGAAAGCTCAGCCTAACTTAGCTCACCGTGGCTCCACCCCCAGAATCAATTCTACTTCCTGCATCTGTTATCCTGCTCAGGTGTAAGTTCCAGGGAGGGGACACTGGGCTGGCCAGGCTGAGGTCACCCGCTTCTGCCTCCCTGGAGCCACACTTTTGTGCCTTCCTTCCCCCACATGGTACCATGGATGGTCTGTACAACCTACAACACAGCAGAAGGGGTGGGAGGTCATGGCCAAGGTAAGATGACTTTTATCTCCCAGTACACTGAGGAAGCCATGGCATGGACAGTCCTAGAGACAAGCCAAAATAGCAAGAAGCTCTAGTTTCCTGCCAATAACCAGGTGAGTGGGCAAGTAGATCTATTGTACAAACCTATCCCAAACTGAGCCAAATAGTCAACATGAGAGCGGCAACTCACAGCTCAGGTCAGTTTGCCAGTTACATGTTAAGAAATACAAGACAGTGGAACACTCATTTGCTTGCTTATCATTTATATAGTATACAAGACCACTATAAAGTAACCCTGTAGACAGGCACAGGCAGCAGGGAACTGAAGTCTTCAGCCATCATGTGAATGACAGTGATTAGAAATGTGTCCTAAAATCCCAGCCAAGAGACAACCTACAGTCTCTTGAAAGAGCCTGAACAAGAACCAAACCTAAGCCACATAAAACCCTTAACCCTCCATAGCTATGTCAGATAATATAAGGCTACTTAAACAAGGGCATAGTAAAGTATAACTAAAAGATGTTTTGTTTTTAAAAAATGAAAAACATACCAAGTTTTTTCAGACCACCCATTTTCTTATGAACTTTGAGAAGTTTGTTTTAAGCTTTTAAGACTTAGGGGTCATTTGTGAAACAATAGAAAATGAATATATCAACTCTGGCTCTTACCTGGCTGGAAAGATTTATTTTTACACTGAGAGAAAAATAATGTCAACATGACTATGGATGCAATGTGTAGGATTAATAATGAAGCACAGCCTTTTCAAGTTCTCTTGAGCACATTCATGATTTTCAGTCACTTACACATAGCTTGTTACATAAATTGTAAGCAATCACATCTCCTCATTAAAACAAGTGCCCCAAGGATTCCTGCTGGCTAACACTTTGTTACATCCTGTTGACGTATGTACTTCAAAATAAAACGAGTTTATAAGTATGCCCATAATTCACACTTATTATCCATACTGACAGCCTTTTCAAGAAATAACTTCCGTATGTTTTGGAATTGTGTCTGTACTTTCCTCGTCATAGTATCTTAAGTGTTAATGGTACCAAAATCAATTACTGGCAAGAACAAATATGGAGGCCAACTGCCACTTATGAAACACAGAGGTAGAACTGGTGCCCAGAGGGGGGGAAAAAAAACCACCAGCCAGCCAGTGTCCATTCTACTAACTGAAGAAAGGGCATGCCAATGAATAAGGGATTCAGATAACAACCTGACCTGCTGTTGCAGCCTATCAGGTGAGCCACTGACTGCAATGTCAGCATCCCTACGAGCACGTTCTTTGGTCTTAGCTATTCTACTTTTAAGCCATCTTTCTTCTAATATACCTGAGGAAGCAGCCGAGAATGACCCAACCCACCTGAGAAGCCCAGATGGAGTTTCTGGATCTTGGCTTCAACCTTTCTCAGCCCCAACTGTTCTGGCCACTTGAGGAAAGAACCAGCACATGGAAGATCCTTTCTCTGTTTCTCCCTTTTTATATATAAGTCTACCTTTCAAGCAAATGTATACAACTTAAAGCAGGCCCAGCGCAGTAGCCTAGTCTTGCACACACTGGTATCACATATAGGCAACAGTTCTTATCCCCAGCAGCCTCACTTCCCATTTCCCATCCAGCTCCCTGCCTGTGGCCTAGGAAAGCAGTCGAGGACAGCCCAAAGCCTTGGGACCCTGCAATCGCGTGGGAGACCTGCGGGAAGAGCTCCTGGCTCCTGGCTTTGGATTGGCTCAGTTCCAGACACTGCGGCCACTTGGGAAGTGGATGGAAAATCAGTGGATGGAAAATCTGTCTTTCCTCTCTCTGTATATCTGACTTTCCAACAAAAATAAACCTTTTTTAAAAACTTAAAAGCAATTTTTAAAATGATAAACCAGGAGCAGGCATTTGGCATAGCAGTTGTAATTCATTTGCGACCCTTGCTTTCCCTATTAAATTCTTTCTCTATCAAGCCTGACTCAGCTATATGGAAGAACAAGACTGGGTTCCAGGCTTCTGGCTTCAGCCTGACCCAGCACTGGCTGATGCAGGGATTTGAGGAATGCCAGATTTCAGTCTACTTGTTTCACTCTCACACACACATACTCTATCTCTCTCTCTCTCTAATCTCTCTCTCCCTTTCAAAATAAACAAGATATTTTGAAATGGTAAACCTAATGCAATGAGCAGAACAAGAATGCTGATCTCATCAACAGAAGGATGGAGAAAATGTGATACATATACAAAAGGGGATATTAGTCAACCACAGGAAAGAATCATAGTCTATCATTTGCAGCAAAATTGATGGAGTTGGAGGACATGCTGTTAAGTAAACAGAAAAAATACCACATATTCTCTCTAACTTGTGGAAATGCAAAGAAACCAAAATGAATGTAGAATAGCAATTATGAGACGCTGTGAGGGCGGCGGAGTGGGGGGGTGTTGGCAGGGAATGGAATGTAGACAGAAATTTGATAACAGGAACCAAAACACAGTAGGAATAAGTTGCATGTTCCGCAATAATGTAGTTTTAGTTTTATGGACGGAGGAGTAAAGGTCCAACCCTCCAAGCACAAAGCAGCGAGAAGAGGTGGAAGCGCAGAGCACCTCATC